ATGTGCAGATCCTCCAACCAAACCACAAGATCGGAGTGGGCACTGCAAACCCTTACTACCGACGCATGGCCGGATGTAGACACTACACTTACTTGGGGTTGGTAGGGAATAAGGGAATATGTAAAATGGGTATAATATGGAGATTGTATTCCTATATTCCTGACTAACCACCAAAAAGTACAAGTTAATTGCGTCCTGGCATGGCTCAGCCAGTTCTTGAACTGCTCGAAGCAGTCTTTCACGGCAGGAATGTAAGCAGTTTCTGCGGGCCTCAGAAGCACTTCAAGGCTGCACCAGTCCTGTAGACTCGTGGACTGGTTTTTGTTGTCTGAAGAAGGACTCCCCAGGTGGGCATGCGATGATGATAAATAAGGTCGCATGCACACAGAGTCAGGGCACAGCTTGTTCCAAGTAAGAACAGGAGGCATTTGAGAAATGCTTAGTCTTGCGTTTATACTGGGCTTCAAATCATCAATGGCGCTGGAGAAAGGTCTTGGAGTCTGGCTCTCGGATGTCCAGCTCCTGTCGAAGGCCCAACTCCTGCACTGATGCAAGAAGCGCAGAGCCCCCCAGGCAAACCAACTTCTCAAGTAATCGCATTCAAGATGCAAGTTTTATTGCCACATAAGACAACAAGAACCAAGAGGTTGGCAGCGTCAGCATACAGCCCTTTTGCATCCCTGCAGCTCCTGGCAAAACTTGCCGCAAACTGGGCGGACAACGGGTAGAGATTTCGTGGGGACACGTGCATAAGTTTGGTGTACCGCGCAGGCTACAACTTGCAGAATCTCAATCACCTGTTGGCAGCACGTACTTTCTGGGTTTTGAATGAGTCTTATGCCAGGATCCAAAACGTAGGTGGCCCTTGGATTCCAAATTTACTGCAAAGCTCTGACAAGGCCTGGCTTAGTTGTTGGGACCATGGACTGATGTCAAGCCCAACCCGTGATTGAAACATTGCTGTGCTCAATTGCTCAAGCCTCGCAGGCAAGTGCACATGCCAGGCGCGACACCATGTCTCTGGAAGAAAGACGAGAAACCATCTTCCTGACGCACGCGCATGCAGTTTTCAACTTTCACAGCTCTTGGCTGTAGCAGTGATAAGTCTATCTGCGGCTGCCGATTTCTAAGACTATAATGAACCCGAAGGTGGACATGCAGAATCCGACTTCAGGCCAACTCTAGGCGCATGTAGCTTTCTCGCAGGAAGTCAAGCTCCTTATTCTGAGGCGCAGGCATGGAAGTCACCTTTCCCAAATCGCTCTGGGAAGACTTCGCTTTGTGGCTTCCTTGCAGTGATGTGGAGCAATGTCGGGTCTTCACAAGATATCGCGTGTCAAGCAAACCCTACAGGCAATGACTTTTGCTTGATGGTATGTCTTCGCGCTGAACCAAACAATCCCCGAGCCTCGCTCGCTTCAATGTGCTGCTGCAGTGAACTTGGGGATCCTCAAGCGTTGGAATGTTCACTCTTACGTTACAGCAGCACGAGTACAAGTTTTTCAAACTATCTTTGCAGCGCCTCCCGGAAACGCAAAACACAGTAACACGTTTGTCTTGACAAGCATGCTGTGAAACTCCAAGTGACATCGTGCACCCCCACTGCTGCATGCAAAGACTACCACATCACAACTCCACAGCTAGTGAGTCGGACCTCCCACACTCCCTTCAGAAAGAAAAGCTGGGAATCCGCGCTGTCAGCTTGAAGACCAAGACCGAGTCCTTGGCATCCTTGGAGCCCTGCATGCCCTGCCTCTCCTTGCAGACGCCCTGCACGTCAACGACCTGGGCTGTGGTGGCTGGTGCCCGGCTTGGATAATGCTGCAGCCTACTGACACTTTGAAGCAATCTCCAGACCATGAAGGTCAGCCCCATGAAGCCAACACCCGACCGGCAAGGCCGCCACCATCAGCTTGCGTTGGCTCCTGACAGTGTCGAGGTTCGCAGCTTTGGCCCAACTTCTTTTCATCTACTGCAGAAGCCGGACTTTTGACATGGCTTATTGAACATGCGCTGTTTTTGACGCCGGCTGCTCTATGCTTGTGTAAGCCAGCAAGCCAGCAAGCAAGCAAGCCGACGACTATGGGACTACGGAGCAGTTGACAAGCGGCCTCTCGAAAGTGAAGTGCGAAAACGCCTGCAGGACTTTTGGTGCTCACCATATTTCTGTTCTCTGTCGCGTGGCTCCAGAATGTCACAATGCGCAGCCATCCCTCCACACATATGCTCTGAGCTAGAAATCCAGAAAATCTAGGCTCGCCCAGTGGCATGGACACCTTGCCTGAGCGACATCAGTGTGCTTGCTGAGTTCTGCGTTCACATATCCTTAGGACATCTTAGGACTTGGTCAGATCAAATTGTACCATCTTCAGCAGCAACCATGGCACAAAGGTAAGCTGAGCCTGGGACCATCGTTGTTGTTGAACTTCACCCAGGTGCCTGCCCAGATATAGCAGGGAGCTCACGTTTGTATCTGTAATCAGGCAAAACGAGGGTATGTTACATTGACTAACGTAACGTGAGGCACGTACGCGAGACTTCCCTTGCTACCATGGATGCAAAACAAGATCCAAATAAATATAGTGGGCCTGCCTGACAGGTACTTCTCGCCGCAGAAATAGAACGGCCTGGGCTTTACTTCACATAGCTGACTGCCGCTGTGTGTTCAATCTCGGCAAACAGCCGAATGTCAGATGGCCCAGCCGCCAAACCGTCAAGTACCAGTAGAATCCCGACTCCATGAACTTCTCAAGTTCTAATGCGCCTGTCATGGCAAATGCTCGAAAATGGCTAATCGTGAAACCATTCTTTGTCAAAGTGCATGCTGCTAGAGCAGAGGCGAATAGCTCTAGATTGTGCATGACATATCATGCCGTTCAGCTTGGCTTCGCTTGGCATATTGTGGTGCTGACCTGAGGTCCTCAAGCTGTGCCGTCAAGGCTCTCGTCTACCTCCGGATTGATGATGTGCTTGCTGTACACCCCAACTTCGCTGAATCTGAAGTCGACCTGTCGGGGCCACGAAACATGCGGGTGCAACACGTTTTTGCTCTTCACTACGGCTCCATGTGCCCAAACCCTCCATGCTACCCTAGCCCAATCCTCCTGCTTCGGAGAGTGGTTCAAATGTAGAAATAGGACCGGATCTCTTACGTGTCTAATCCCCAAGGAAACAATCTCGATTTCTGGGCCAAAGCTGACACTAAGGAAAAGAGTAGCCTCGACATCACGTTCCTTCCCCACATAAGTAGGCCAAAATCATGACAGACATCATGAAAGAGCCATCATCACAAGTGGCAGCAGCAAAGGCGGAAGCAATGCGCTTTCCCTGTTGTGGAATACAATAGAACACCTAAGCACCTGGTCCCTACGAGAAAGCCGCTCGAGCTGCTCAGCCGTCAGTGCTGCCTGGTGGAATGTAGTAGACATGTGGTTTTCCCGGTGCCCACAACCAGGAATAGCCCGCGTACTAGAAAGATAAAAGATTGTCGAAGCGGCAGATGGTGCCTTTGGCTCCAAGCCTCTCGTTTGAATTTCTTCCTGGAACCTCAGCAGTCAAACTCTGACTAAACAAGGCCCGAATGTGCAAGTTGGCCTTGCAATTCCTTGTGCGGTCATCCCCTGAAGCACCTCCCTTACAAAGCTGAGGGATCAAGTGCATCACGTATGAATAGAGAGGAAGAAGAAAAAGTCACCACATGCAAGACTGCTAATTAGCCCAAAAGCCCCTTCATGTGGGCGAGCCCCTCATGTCAGGGCACTGCATCTACAGAGACGCCTCCATAGAAAAGGCACACAAGGAATTCAGCGCCAGGCAGTTGCGCGTAGTAGGCAGCCACTGCGGAAGACCTTATGCAGGGCCATCCGGAATTGGCTTATTGGCCGTTGCACTGAACTTCATGCACCCCTTCATGCTTGCAGGATGTCCACCGCCAAAGGCTATGCTTCCTCAAAAAGGTGCTTGAAACAAACACCTGCCATTAAAAATCGAAATTCCAAGAGCGCGGCTTAGCAAACATGTGGTGGTCCTGACAGCGAGCAAACCGCAAGCCCAGTGAAGTTTGCAGAGTGCTGCCATCTAGCAGGCGACATGCACCGACATGCACGAAGGGTCTGGCTGCAATGCCTAGAATCTTTAGAAGGATACCTTTCAGACGCCGACAACGGGCCAGCTTGATGACCGTCACGCTGAGCACACTCTGGGGATCTTTGAGGTTCGGAGAACAAAGTGCCAAGAGACCAAATTCATAGGACTCATAGCCAAGCATCCCTACGAACTAGCATCAACCGGGGCCCAAGTCAAGCCTACACCAGCCCATGAGGCCTCAAGTTCGTCCCGGTCAGCTTTCTTCAGGAGCATCTTGGCCACCTGCTTTGCGCCTCTCTCCTGATGCAGGTCTGCCGGGAATCTCACATCACAACCTCAGAGAGGGGGAAGAGAGACAGAGATAGAGAGAGAGACTCGCTGTTCGGTTGCATCTATCAATTCTGGAGCAACACGAACCCTAGCCCAACTTGCGCTGTTTTCCAGACGAAACTGCAGATTCATCCGTGCCAGGAACGGGGAAAACTAACACTGACTTTGACAGCGCAAGTCATTTCCAGATAGGATGTGGCCCAGAAATCCAACAAGGTGTTCTTCCTTCAAGAAACGGAACTCTGCGGACTCACGGGCCGACCAGGAAGATGAAGATCTTATATGCAAAAGTCTCACTTGGCTGTACAGTGCCGGCTACGCCTGTCAAGTAACAACTGCGATTCACACGAAACCTAAGAGCATGCCGACGTGAAAGACGCCCTAAGATAATCTAAAAGCCGTTGCAACTGTCATGCAACATTCATCACTGGCACCTTGACTGTGTGTTCTAGGTGCCACAAAGAGAGGCAGACTGGCAGCAGTCTAGTCACGATTCTGACTCCAACAGCTGGGCCACTTTTGCCTCAGCCTGCATCGGAATGCATGGAGCAGATCCCAAACAGCTCAGTAAACGCAGAGCAGCTTTAACAGCCCGGACCGCCAATCCAGCGCCAGCACGCTGTCCGTGGCTGAGTCGTCAGAACCAACACGGTGATGCCATAGAGTAGGGCCATGGCCGGTATGAACAACACCAAAAAGGCCATGGCGGAGTTGGAGCTCCACTCAATCTTCCGCCGATGTGCCTCAGCCTTCTGTCGAGGGATCAGCGGGAGCGCCAACAAGCTGAGCAAGGATGTGACGTAAGTAAGCCCGTAGGACCAGGCCACAATTGCTCGAAACTGAGATGTGTCCGCCACATAGTTGTCTAGCTTTGACAAACTGGGTGTGAAGAGACCATAGACTTGGTTGCTCACAACTGTGGACAGAGGCAAGCTTGCATGCTGAAGTGTCCCAACCAGACCGTAGCAGAGACCCTCCCTTCCAGTTTCAGCCAGCTCAATGATCATCAGGTTCGACACAAGCGCTAGAGCAGCCTTGGGTATGGAACCGGCCACATCCTCACCAAGGTAAAAATACTGGTCACGGACCACGCCAAAGATGGTGAGGAAGGTTGGCACACAGTCAGAAATAGTTACTGCCAGGATTGACAGCAGGATTGCCTTCCTCCAGCTCATCTGCAGAAAGTACTCCTTGTAGATCCAAGTTACTACCATCATGACAAACATGCCGCCCATGCCAAAAATCTGCTGCTGGAGGACCTTGACCCCTGCCCATTGGCTGCGGACCAGAGGTGCTGCCGTGGTGGAGCTTGCGACGAAGAACTGAACAACAAATGCGAAACATAACACGCTGGACAGGGCCTTCTTCTTCACAAGCTTCCTTGGCCGCGGGCAAAACAAAGAAATCCCAGTACCGGAGCGAACGTTCAAATTACATAAGGGCTGTCAATAAATTGTTGGTAAGTCTTCCTGTTCCTTTTGCGCTCCGACGCGAAGGACCTTGCACCTTCTAGCAACCAAACACGAGATGACATGACGTGCTTATGGCGCGCCAAATGTGCTGCTCATGTATTGGCAAGTCTCCAAGACGACTTCATGTGTTCACGGCTGGATGGGCGCGTGGTTTTCCTGTCCTCATGAACGCAGAGCCAGCTGATCGGGATCACGAAGATGACCATGACCAAGCACACAGTCATCAAGCCGCTGAAGGACAATCCCCAGTCAAAGGTCCCCAGATAAGCTTTGCTGTTCATCAAGAATCCGATCACAACGGAGGATGCTAGCGCACCTGCCGTGGTGACCATCGTCATTTGGGCTTTGATTTGCCCTCGGCGCTCAATAGGCTCCTGCCGCGAGTACTCCAACAACAAGCCTTCACCAGCCACGCTTCCAACTTGGGCACCTGCAATGAGCAGGAATAGAGGGAAGACATACCAGTTCCGCTGGGAGTGGATGTCTGGATTGCACGGAGGTGACATCCAGTCGTACGTGCCATCCGGAAACTGGCAGTAGTATGGAGCTGGCAATGTCTTCAGGCTCATTACCAGAAGTGCTGAGCCACAAATGAGCCAGCCAAGCGCCAAATATGGCTTCCTGCTGTAGCCAAAGATGGGCAAGCAATCATTGAGCACGCCCAACGGCAGAAGCAGCACCTCTGGAAGCTTCATGAGTGCTCCAATTGACGAGATGATGTAAGAATCCAGGCCCATGTAGCCAAGGAAGAAGCCATAGACGACCCCAGATGCAATGGCATTCACGAACGCGAGAAAGAAACCACTGATAGGTAAGCCACAGGTCTTCCAGGTCCAAATGCTGACTGCCTCATTTCTGAGGTGCTGAAAAGCATTCTGCGCCTCTGCGTCGGACGCCCCGGACGACAGCTCCATGGCTGAGACTTGTGAATCATCGTCCCCGAACATGCTGTCGTCGCTGGAGCTGGCAAAGAAAGCAGTGGTGCAATGAGAGAACGTATTGGACGCGGCTTTTTTCAAAGTGGTAGCCGTACTGGCAGTGTGCTCCAAATCTGTCTGAGAGTCACTGTCCGCCGACCCGTCTCCCTCAGATTTGATGGAAACTCGCATGGCCTTACCGTCTATGGGGGAAAAGGTTCCTTGAGCCCATCCAGCTTAGGCAAAAGCGCAAGGTCCAGTGCTGCGGAGTTTGCTAGGAATTTCTAGGATGCTGCCTGAATGAACCCGGACAGCTGGAGTAAGATCTTGCTGTCGGGACGGCTGTGGGCTACTCGTGGGCTAACCTGGCTCTGCTTGCTGAACCGTACCGTGGCACGCATATTTTCTTGTTGTTACGTCGAGCACGCATTGAGATTATGCAATGAGCCCGAAAGAAAGGGAGCATGTGTGAATCGTATATGCTACAGATGCAACAGTCTTCCGAGCGAATGATCTGGAATGTCGTGACAACGAGCTGCGCTCCGGCATGAACTGAGAACCTGTGCCAGCAAGCAAAGGCGTACCAGAATATGAGCCAATGCTCTCCCAGACCCTCTCCTTCACCTCTGTCATTCCGTGCACCATGCGCCTCAGGCAACTGAGCAGAGTGGAGAGAGAAGAAAAGTGAGGCAAACAGAAATGGATGGATATCTCGCCCTACCTATGCGGCGGCCCCAAAACTTGCATCAATGCCCTTTGCGAAGACAAGCAGCTGTAACAAAAAAACATCTTCAAACAATTGTAAGTCGAGTTTGCAACTTGCTGAGTCAGAGCTCCAGGCATGCCACCTGCCACGATGTGAGGCTGCACGGGGTTGCTTAGGAGGCTGCAGGGGATCCTAACATTGACTTATGCAAGCCCAGTGTGATGCCCTACCGGTAAACCAGCCCTACCGGTATGGCAGTTGCTGCTTTGTACATGCTCAATGCCTCGAACCCTACAGGAATGTACTGCTAGGGTAGCATGCAACCGAAGCCAGCACTTTTGGGTTGCGAGGCCGGAGCAGTCAGGCAAACCGCACGTGCTATCTGCCGACGCAACGCCGCCCACATGTGGACATGAGATCAACACAATCCTCACTTCCAGGGGTTCTGAACGCACTGCCCCCGAAGCTGCCTTTGCTGAAGGGCTGCTTCTTCATGAAGAGCTCAACAGTGTCCCGCCAAGCTTTCCTGCTGAATTGCCTGGATTCGTGCGGGGCGAGCCACTGCTACTTACAGCCGCCTATCGCTTCGCTCAACACATGCTTGTCCTGCTAGAGTCACTGGCCATGCTTGACAGCAACCCGCACTGCGGCTGGGAGAAACAGATCGAAAATTGTCGTTGGAACTTCCATGCTCTAGCCCTCACTTATCAAACCTCTCCCGCACAAGCTGCCAAAAGACATAAACAAAGAAACGGCGGCTGAGTGTGTGGCACGCCATCGAAACTGTAGACAGTTTGGCTTGCCGACAGCTTATTCCACAGATCTCTTCTGCCGGGCTCCTGACATCAGCCCATGCTCGGGTGTCCAATCCCTGGGCTCCAGAGACGGCTGCTGTGGTCCTTGTAGATTTCCATGGCCCGAGGATCTTCGAAAAGGAGGTCCCCGATGCCGTTCGCCCTCAGGACATTGTCATGCACTGTTTGTTGCCAAGGCACCAAGCAAATTATAGCAGCGTTCGCAAAGCTCAACCATGTCGCTCGTGATTTAGAGTATTCCCGATGTTGCATGTTTGCAAATTTTGCAAGACCGTTAAGAAAACAAGTCATAGCAATCCAAGCCTTTCGGTGAAGCTGCTTGGGCCCGCGCGACTCCGGGTCCTCCTAGCGTAACAAGTCAGGAGCAACGACCAGAGCGAGCAGCAGCAGCGGCGGCGGCAGCATCAGTACAAATGGCAACTCGGACTGCACAGCTTGTGAGATTCCGTCACATGCGGGACCGTTGGAACCCGAAGCGCTATCACACAACTCGCCTGCATGCCGGCTGGCATGCAGAAAGCAAAAAAACAGTGCAGTTGCGGCCTGCTCCTCGATCTGCTCAAGCGTGCCAGTGGCCTAGGCCAGAGGCCGAAGCAGGGGATTATGACACTTGGCTTGTCTGCTCGTGGAAACCATTGAGTGGAAGAACTTGGACAAATGGATCATGATTGCCCCTGACACGTCTGATCTGTAACAGAACAAGAATGTAGGCCTCTCAAAATATCTGGCCCCGGTCTGCGCCTTCATCAGCTTTGACTCGGCAAACTGAGGTGCTGGCTCGGCAGCTTGTCAGCCTAGCACTGCATCCATTGCATTCCACACAAGCCGCCAAAAAAAAAGCTTTGGCTCCCTATCTGTGAGGAGAGCTTTCCATACAAAGCGCATGCTGGCTGCTGCTTCCAACATCTTCCAACACTCACACCCTTCACACAGTTTGCATCTTCCAACCTGGGGATCTTTGGCAGAGTGGCAGAAGCCGTATAGCCCAGCAAGAAACTGAGGGCCAAGCTTCTTGAAGGCCCTGAGCAAGATGGGGTTTGAAGCACATAATCTAAATGTCGACAGAACACGCACACTTCGAGATGGCCCTTCTTTGAGCCCCAGTGTAGCAGCGCGCGTCCGGTCCGGGCAGCAGGCCCCAAGGGGTGGAGGAAAACTCCCCACTGGAAAAGAGGCGAAGAGCAATCTGTATGACAATCGTGACACAAGGATGCAAGCTCGGCGTTTCTGAGACCTCAAGTATCAGAACCGCGAAGCCTGCTATAAGCCGGATCCACTGATGCCAAAGGCATGAGGTGTCCAGCACAACAAAATTCCCCTAAGCTGCCTACGATGGACAAGGTGCATTTGATCATTTGGAGCCAGCGTCGGCTGATCTGCAAACTCCTTAATACCACCTGTGCACTTTTTGGACAAGGATGGCCCAACGGCTCCCATCGGCTCCACAAAGAAACCGGACATGTGGCTTGGCCCTCACTGACCAGGCCATGGAATTCCAGCTCAGCTTATGTACCTAGATTTAATTCTTCGCATGCTCCACCAACTGTAGCGGCAGTCTCCGATTCTATAACTGGCTGTACTGGGCTGCCGGACAGCAGCACTCGGAAGATCTGTTGCTGCGAGCTGCAGTCGTTCAACCCTTACACGCACACCTCCTTGTCCAAGCCCTGCATACCCACCTTGCCATCAGGGGTGCTTTGCAGGATCTTGCTCTTGGTATCAAGCGGAGCGCAAGCCGCTTCCAAGTTGGAGATGACCTGCGCGAGGACTTCTGCTGCCTGCAAACAGGGCAGTCACAGCATGCAGGCGAACACTTCACAGTGAGGTTCAAAGAAGATCTGGCAACAACAGGTGTGGGCTTGCATTGCTCGGTCGCATGCTGCCAAGAAACCCTGTCATAGCACAATAGAGGGTCAACGTAACAAAGGGTAAGGAAGATGTTCTCATCCACCGTCATCACGTTCAACCACACGAAAGGGCCCCAAGCAGCTTGATGTGAGATGAAGTGCGACTGTGCAATCTTGAAATCGCCAGATTCCAGCTCGGCCAGGATTCCTGCATTGCTTACCAGGAGGGCGTTGGTTCGGCCTTGGTCGGGGCCATCCAAATCCAAGGCGCCTTCCAGCCATGCCACATCCTTCTTTCCCATTGCTGCTGTAAGAAAACGCATGTACCAGGCAATGTTGTGGGCCTCCAGCCTTTTGGTCGCATCCTCAACCGCCTTCTTGGAGCACTCAGCCAAATCCCAGAAGTTCGTATCTTCAGCTACATCCAAGGTACCCCATCCGTTGCGATATCGGGCCCCAAGTGAGTAAGAGCCGAACAAGTCCTGACCGTCAGGGATGTGCATCCGGGCGTCAAAGGCCAAGATTGGGCGCATGCCCACCTTCCCCTCCCTAGACATCTGCTTGCGAAGGGCTAAGGCCAGGCTGGCTAAGAGAGCCGTGTTGACCGTCAAGTTGCGTTCACGACAAACTGCCCGCAATTTGCCCGCGAGAGGGATGGAAGCAACCTGTGCGCGTGTCTTTCGACACTGCCAAGGTGCCAGACCATCTGGCTTCGGCCATTCCTTGCCCTCACGCGGCTTCAGCTTTCGGCGCGGGGATCCCAGCGGGACCATATCAGCCAACCTGCCCACAGCTTTTCCTGGAAGACGGCCGCCCTGCCGTTGCTCCATCAGCCTTGTGAACCGCGAGGAAGGCTGGTCAAGAAGCTCGGACAAGCGGAGATCTAGGGCAAATTTTGGCGATGAGCGCTGGCGGCCGGATAATATGGAGACCAGTTCGCGCATCAGCATCCAAATGCTTTTTTCATCCACAATCGCGTGGTGAAATGTGAGCAGCAGCCAGCCGTCGCGCATGACTTTTGCTCGCCATAGCGGCCGACCCTCGCACTCCTCGGTTCGCCAGTTGCAGTACATACCGGATTCTGCAGCAGCAGCAGCAGCAGCAGCAGCAGCAGCAGCAGCAACATCAAGAGTGGCAGAGGTAGCGGCAGTGGCGGCAGCAACAGCTTTTTGAGAGCAACTGTCTTCTTGCCTTCTTAGTCACTTGGCACGATGCTCCTAACCCCTGCTAGAGTTGTGGGATTCCAACATTCCGACCTCCAAGCCTGCGCATCTTTGACACAAGTAAGATTATGTTCTGTGAAGGCAGCGAATTGGATGCCGAGGTGCCTGCCAGGTCGGAGCAATACCGTTCGATGCCTCCTCTGATGCTAGCAGCGCCAGTGATGCAGGCGAAACGTCTGAATCCTGCACTCTCCAATCAGAGGAGGAGGGTCTCATGGACTAGACTCAGCCACAAATGACTGCTGAGGAGAAATTTGGCACGTCTTGGGCTCATTTATGGCATGCGGTATCATATCATAAGCTTGCACTTTGCCAAGGTCAGACAGGCACAGCAGTGGGTCCGCACCTGCAAACAATAACCTCGTAAACCTATGCTCATGTCAAAGAGAGCCTTTCCGGTACAAGATCGTCAATTCACATGTAGGGACACTACGCAGCCAAGCGGTGAGTCCTGGTCGATGACAATTTCCGGCTTCAGATCTGGCCGTAGGAAGAAACGTTTTTTGTCTATGATGGCCTCTGGGCTTTGGCAATCGAGGGCAAAATAAGATTCCAACCAACTCTGCATCTTGCAACAAAGCGAAGCCAACGCCAAGTCAGGCCAAGTTTCCTGAAGGGCCGCAAAGTGATGATGAACCTGAGCAAGAGGTTCATGAACTCCTCAAACGAATGTCCATCAATCAATCACCGAATCATGGCCTTTCTCTATGAAGCAAACTCTAACCGCACCGCCGGGGTTGAGCCGAGCAGCCAGGCTCAGGGCTTCAGCCAGATCTTGTGCTGTTGCCGGGCCCCTCACCTGGAACCAGTGCGCGATTGTCGCCTGACAGCCAACAGACGAATTCCGGGTAGCTCAAGGCCTTTGCTGCAGGAACTTTTCCAACATCTGCCGAGCGACGTACGGAGTTGCTTTCCAGCTTAAGCGCTCGAATGCTGAGAGGTTTCTCCCAACCAATCGACCACTTTTGCTTCGGGAATTCGGACGAGAGTTACCTCATGAGCTTCTTACTGCACAAGATCTTGCAGCATGGAGGAAATGGATTGCAGCTGACAAGCCGAGCTGCTACTCTGGTGAGATTGGCAGGCACCCATGCCACTGCTCAGCACGCGTACACCACCGGATGACAAGTCTTGCTTGCAACACAATAACAATCAAGGGCCTAAAATCTTACCCTGCATTGGCTCCCGTGACTCATCTGCCATCAGCTGCTTGCGGGCTCACGCCGCTGACTACAGCAAACTTGGGCGGCCCTCCTCATGAGGGCCTCTAGTGGCTCATGAATACATGAGTTTGTGCCGTGCTTTGGTCCGAAGCTGCCCACAGCGAATATTTGTTTCGACATATTAGTGGTGCGTGACTTCACGAAGCCACTCCTGTGCTTCGCGACAGAAACCTGCAAGCACCTGGCCCTGGATACCCTGTTCTTAAGGAGAGGCAATAGCAAGCCATGTATGCACAGATTTGATCAGGTTCCAAGCTCCTTGATGCATTGCAGGGTTAATAAGAGAATGCGGTATAGTGGACTGTTGGGATAAGTATTATTGGACAGAAAGGGGCTGCATTCCCTCCTGTCTACCCCAGGACCTCATGGAGCCAAGCACCGCACTCCAGACTCTCCCTTTGCTCGCTCTCCCGGCTTCGGCCTGATACACACTTTGCAAATATTAGCAACGGAACGCAAATGGTAGTTTCCCTACATAGGGAGTGCCCTCTTGGGGGTCCCTACAATGAGGATTTTCGTGTTTTGGGTTTATCTTGTATTAAAACCAGACGTGAAGCATCATGCAAGATGAAGGATCATTTACTTTTCATCAAGTGGGGGTTCCTGTGCACTTATGGAGGCGAGATTGCCGCAAAACAAACACGCTAGCTGAATGATCTGATTGGCGACTCCAAACCTAATCCCAAGAATCAAACCCTGACCGTCGCAGCTGCATACATGTTGTGTACGAATTCATGTTGTATACCAATTCTGCGAGATGGGGCAGCCAGAAGCTTTGATTGCCAATGATGCTCTTCAGCAAAGCTGTGAGGTCTCGACTGATGCTCGCTGACATAACCTCCGGCAGGCTGTTTTGCACAGGACACTCCTTACAAAGATTTAAGCCATTAAAGTAAATGACATCAAATGAAGAGCACCACCAACTGGCAGACTCTGTGATTTAGGTGCACGCTGTCAAGCCCTGGCGGAGTAATTCTGCCCCAGGCAGAGACATGGGATGCCCTCCAAACCCTACTGCTCATTACAAACACCTGCTACACTTCTTGTGCAATGGAGAGAGAGGACTTGCTGGCAAATTGCCTGAATGCTTCCATGGGCTGCCAACTCAAAAGCTACTTGCATCAGGTGTAACTTTGTGCAAGGGCCAAGCTCTAAGGCGGCAGCGGAAAAGGCATTTCTGATGGAAGTCGTCCTCGCCATAACGGAGCCCACATGCTGAGCCATCACCACGCAAGGATTTCTCGGGAGCAGACGACACGCCACAGTTGTTGAAAGCGCCACCACCTGGAAGACCGGTTTTGTGATGCAAGGGACAACAACTCTTAAATGGCGACATTGGGGGATCCTGGCCCAGAGCCCGCTAACAGCTCAATCAATTAGAAATCGGATGTCAGAACAAAGCTGAGCCAGTCACTGATGGTTGCCATTTGCTGCAGATGCTCAAACTTCTCCCCCTGTGCAAGCTCCGTGGTCTGAAAAGGGTGCGGGCTGCCAGTGGAACATTGGCTGCGTGCCTGCCCACAGCCTGTGGTAAAGAATTTCAGGCCGGAACCTTGCAGCGCAAGAAGCATGGGCTGGCTGCGTCTGTCTGAAGACCGTCCAACTGCTTCCTTACAGAGGACCCATGCTGTGTACCACATCCTACAAGACCATTGCAGAAGCAAATTTGCCGAGGCCCCTCACTCTTGGCATTTTTCAGGAGTTTGTTGAGGACCTGGCAGGGCTAGAAACAATGACGATTCAACCACCTGCTACTTGTGTTTCAACGCTGTTGAGGGACCGCCAGGGAAATTGGCTCATGCCTGTTGAAATCGTCCAAGACGGCAACACGTCTGCTCCAACAGCCCTGAATAGCCTGCATGAAGTCCCTGTCATCCGTGGGCTCTCCATCAGAGAAGAAAACCACCTTGTTGCATCCAGCGGCAAGAAAATGAATTCCTACATCAATAGTCAACTTACTTGCAATGCTACCAGAGCGCCAGGCGCACCTATGTCAGCACTGCAAAAAAAAAGGGTAATGCATGCCAACCTGTTGCTCACTTCCTTTATTTAGTGAGTATGCAGTTCACTGGCCAACCTCCATGACAAACTCTTATTAAATGTGTTTAAACCTCCTTAAATATTATTGAATCTTATTAAATCTTAGTAGCTCTTACTAAACCTTATTGAATCCCATTAACTCGTATTAAATCTTATTAAATTTCGTTAAATCTTATAGAGCTACTGTGTAATAATAGTAGCAGCAGCAGTCGCAGCAGTAGCAGCAGCAGCAGCAGCGGCAGCGGCAGCGGCAGCGGCAGCAGCAGCAGCAGCAGCAGCAGCAGCAGCAGTAGGAGTAGTAGTAGTAGTAGTAGCAGCAGTAGTAGCGGCAGTATGCGCCAGTAGTGGCGGTGAGTAGTAGTAGTAGTAGTAGTAGTAGTAGTAGTAGTGGAAGCTGGTGGGTGTGGTAATTGTTGTTAACGCTGTTGCTGCTAATGTGCCTGCAAGGCGAACCTGCGATGGATGTTACACATGTTGCTGACGCAAGCAGTCGAAACCATTCCCCTGCTTGGCGGATACTTGTGGGGAGTTTCGTTTGCATCCTGATTGGATTGGCTTGGCCTGGCCCAGAAGCATAAAGCCTGCAATCCAAACCTGCGGCCAGTTCGCGTGTGACCAAACTTGTGGCCTTGGCCACGTCTTAGCCAAGGCCAACATCATGTAAATAACAATGCCGGCATGGGACCAGCGCAGGCTTGTTCTTCTCCTCGGTTGCCTGTGCCGCGATGGCTCGCTCCACACCTGCCAAACCTGCGGGAAAACCAAGCTTGACACAAAAGCATTCAGTGCTGACGGGCATTCTGCGCGCACCTTGGGAGTACAGAGTCTGCTGCTCTGCCTGCGAGGTGTCTTGTTGGTGCCATCTAGTGAGTCCAAATCGTGCCAATGCAGGCCAGTACGTTAAGCGCATGCGAAACATCGGAAGCAAAGCTGTGGACGTTGTGCAGGCAGCCCTGCCTTGGGCTTACTTTGTTTCAGCTTGCTCTGGGCCTCCTTCATAGGCAGGCCTGCCAAGGGGCCAAAAGGAGTCGCACGCGTGCCGACTTCAAAGCCAGTCCATCCAGACAAGAAAAGAAAGGGCCCAGCACTTCTCACAGTGTCGATTTGTAATTCTAGCGTAGTGAGTTTCAGCAACAGGCACTCCACGCTCTGCCGAAATGACAGTGCAGCAAAAAAAATCTAAACAAAACTGCACGTGGCGCATGTTGACTACATGACATCTGATGCTCCTTGAAAATGGATGACATACTCCTCGTTGAATGTTACGAAGGAGTACACGTCATCACCTGACACCATCTGGCTCAAGCAAACCAAAGCGTGCCAGCTTCGTCTCATGTTCAGACGTCTATCTTTCTTTCTTTCAGGGCCTTGCGCAACCCTAGAGGTGCACTGGGGCAAAGCCCGAAGCCCGCAAATCAGGTCGAGTCCCCTGGTCTAACCGAGGAGACCCGGGGTAGTGAACTTAAAAAGGCCCGTCACTAGATCAGCCACGAACAACTCAAAAGCACATCCCTGCAAACCCTGAAGGGCCTCTGTATGGACTTCCCCCCTTCTCGACTCTGCCGTGAGACTAACGTCAAAAGCCAT